CCTCCCATATGATACCTTGTATCTGGTCTCCTGCTTCCTACCCCTATCTTCATTACATTACATTTGCTTGGGTTAAACTCTGACAACCAAGCAAGTGTGTGTGTGTGTGTGTGTGTGTGTGTGTGTGTGTGTGTGTGTGTGTGTGTGTGTGTGTGTGTGTGTGTGTGTGTGTGTGTGTGTGTGTGTGTGTGTGTGTGTGTGTGTGTGTGTGTGTGTGTGTGTGTGTGTGTGTGTGTGTGTGTGTGTGTGTGTGTGTGTGTGTGTGTACTCACCTAGTTGTGTTTGCGGGGGTTGAGCTCCGGCTCTTTGGTCCCGCCTCTCTACCGTCAATCAATAGGTGTACAGATTCCTGAGCCTATTGGGCTCTATCATATCTACACTTGAAACTGTGTATGGAGTCAGCCTCCACCACATCACTTCCTAATGCATTCCATTTGTCAACCACTCTGACACTGAAAAAGTTCTTTCTAATATCTCTGTGGCTCATTTGGTCACTCAGTTTCCACCTGTGTCCCCTAGTGCGTGTGCCCCTTGTGTTAAATAGCCTGCCTTTATCAACCCTGTCGATTCCCTTGAGAATCTTGAATGTGGTGATCATGTCCCCCATAATTATCTCTTCTGTCTTCCAACGAAGTGAGGATTAATTACCGTAGTCTCTCCTCGTAGCTCATACCTCTCAGCTCGGGTACTAGTCTGGTGGCAAACCTTTGAGCCTTTTCCAGTTTAGTCTTATGCTTGACTAGACATGGACTCCATGCTGGAGCCGCATACTCCAGGATTGGTCTGACATATGTGGTATATAATGTTCTGAAAGATTCCTTACACAAGTTTCTAAAGGCCGTTAGCCAACCTGGCATATGCTGCTGATGTTATCCTCTTGATATGAGCTTCAGGGGACAGGTCTGGCGTGATATTAACAACCCAGGTGTTTCTCTCTCTCTGAATCTTTAAGTATTTCATCTCCCAAATGATACCTTGTATCTGGTCTCCTGCTTCCTACCCCTATCTTCATTACATTACATTTATCTTACTATCTTTGCTTACTTAGTTTAAACTCTAACAACCATTTGTTCAACCTTTCCTGCAGATTGTCCAGGTCTTCTTGAAGCCTCAAGCTGTCCTCCTCTGTCTTAATCCTTCTCATAATTTTGGCGTCGTCAGCAAATATTGAGAGGAATGAGTCTATACCCTCTGGGAGATCATTTACGTATATCAGAAACAAGATAGGTTCGAGTACAGAGTCCTGTCTGACCCCACTGGTGACTTCACGCCAGTCTGAGGTCTCATCCCTCACTGTAACTCTCTGCTTCCTATTGCTTAGGAACTACCTGATCCACTGGAGCGCCCTACCAGTTACTCCTGCCTGTTTCTCCAGCTTATGCATCAGCCTTTTATGGGGTACTGTGTCAAAGGCTTTCCGACAGTCCAAAAAAATGCAGTTCGCCCATCCTTCTCTTTCTTGCTTAATCTTTGTCGCCTGACCGTAGAATTCTATTAAGCCTGTAAGGCAAGATTTACCCTCCCTGAACCCATGTTGATGGGTTGTCACGAAGTCTCTTCTCTCCAGATGTGTTACTAGGTTTTTTCTCACAATCTTCTCCATCACCTTGCATGGTATACAAGTTAAGGACACTGGCCTGTAGTTCAGTGCCTCTTGTCTGTCACCCTTTTTATATATCGGGACTACATTAGCCGTCTTCCATATTTCTGGTAGGTCTCCCGTTTCCAGTGACCTACTATACACTATGGAGAGTGGCAAGCAAAGTGCTCCTGCACACTCTTTCAATACCCATGGTGAGATTCCGTCCGGCTCAACAGCTTTTCTCACGTCTAGCTCCAATAGGGGCTTCTTGACCTCATCTCTTGTAATTTCGAACCTTTCCAAGGTCGCCTGGTTTGCTGCCACCTCTCCTAGCGCGGTGACCTCTCCTTGTTCTATTGTAAAGACCTCCTGGAACCTTTTATTGAGTTCTTCACTCACCTCTTCGTCATTCTCTGTGTACCTGTCCTCACCCGTCCTATGTTTCATCACCTGTTCCTTCACTGTTGTCTTCCTCCTGATGTGACTGTGTAGTAGCTTTGGTTCGGTCTTGGCTTTATTAGCTATATCATTTTCATACCTTTTCTCAGCTGCTCTTCTCACACTGACGTACCTGCGTATGAACTTCTCTGTTGCTTCCTTACACTTCTGTGTGATGACGTCCATCATGCCTTGGGCCGTCTTTCCTCTGAGCTTTGTTTCCCATGTTATATCTGTTAGGAATATTCTTATCTCATCATACTTTTCCTTTCGGAATGCCAGCCTTTGGTTTTCTGGGTCCTTTCTTGAGTACATTAACCCTTCTTCGACCAAATACTCAAAAATCAGTACACTATGATCACTCATTCCCACGGGCGCTTCGAAACCGATTTTCTTTATGTCCAAGTCATTTAGAGTGAAGACTAGGTCGAGTCTCGCTGGTTCATCATTGCCTCTCATTCTTGTGGATCCTCTGACATGCTGACTTAAAACGTTTCTTGTCACCACTTCCAGTAGTTTTGTTCTCCATGTTTCCTCTCCTCCATGCGGTTCCTTGTTTTCCCAGTCCATCCTTCCATGATTGAAGTCCTCCATGATGAGCAGATGGGATCTATTTCTACAGGCAGCAGTAGTTACTCTATAGTGTTGACTGCTGTATTGTTTCTGTCATACTCTTGCCTGGGTCTTCTCTCGTTTGGTGCTGGGTTATGTATCACTGTGTATATGTGTGGTGGTGGGTTATATATCACTGTGTATATGTATGGTGGTGGGTTATATATCAATGTGTATATGTGTGTATGTATGTATACTCTCCTATTTGTGCCTTCAGGATCGGACTCTAGCTCAGGGGCTCCGCTTTTCTAGCGTCGCTGGCCTACTGCAATGACTCCTGGCCTATTTTTCCCTATCATACCTGCTTTTAAAGTTATGAATGGAGTTAGCTTCTGCAATCTGTTCCCTTAGGTCTTTCCATTTACTTACTACCCTTATGCCTAAAAAAGACTTTATAACATCTCTATGACACATCTGAGTCTCAAGCTTCCATCCGTGCCACCTTGTTCTATTAATTGGTATTCATAGTAAACATTTCTTATGTTTCCACCCTGTCAATCCCTTTAGGTATTTTATACGTCAATATCATGCCCCTCCCCCTCTCCCCCCTCCAGTCTAACGTCAAAAGGTTTAGTTCCGTCAGTCTGTCTTCGTACCTCATCCCTCGCAGCTCTGGGATGAGTCTCATTGCAAATTTTGCACCTTTTCGAGCTTGCTTATGTGTGTTTTCAGATGGGGGCGCGAAGATGGGGCGGCATACTCTAAGAGTGACCTCACATAAGCAGTATACAGTGATCTAAAAGCCTTCTTATTCAAATTTCTGAAGGATGTTTTGAATTTTGTCAGCGTAAAGTATGTGGCTGACGCTATTCTATTGGTATAAGCCTCAGGAGTTCAATTTGATGTTTGTCCACTCCCAAGTCTTTTTCTCTGGTTGTTATTGGGAGGTTGATTCTCTTCAAAGTGCATTGGCCTTTTGGTCTCCTGGCTCCTGATCCCAGATCCATCACTTTACACTTACTAGTGTTGAACTCTATCAGCCATTTCTCGGGCTAGCTCTGCAACCTGTTCAAGTCATCTTGGAGATTCTTACAATCCTCATCTGTCTCCAACCAACTCATTAGCTCTGCATCACCTGCAAACATTGACACAAAAGACTCAACTCTTGCAGTCAAGTCATTTACATAAATCAGGAATAGTATGGGACCCAGGAGTGATCCTTGAGGCACCCCGCTTGTTACTCAACGCCAGTCCCACTCCTCGCCCCTCACTGTCACTCTCTGACACCTGTCTGTCAGGTAATTCCTTACCCATGATAGTGGGTTTCTGTCTACTCCCGCCTGCCTCTCAAGTTTGCATAATAACTTTCTATGTGGTCCTCTATCAAAGGCTTTTTGGTAGTCCAGAAATATGTAATCTGCCCATCCTTCTCTGTCTTGCCTTAGTTTCGTTACCTTATCATAAACTCCAGGAGGTTCGTCAGGCAGGATTTCTCTTCTCTAAAGTCGTGTTGTTGTTTACTTACAAACCTAATTCTTTCTAGGTGTGCAACTAGTCTTAACCTTATAATTCTTTCAAGTACTTTCCAAGGGATGTTTGTGAGCGACACTGGTCTGTAGTTAAGTGCCTCATCTCTATCTCCTTTCTTGTAGATTGGCCCCACATTTGCCTTCTTCCAGCAGCTGGGCAATTCCCCCTGTGTAAGTGACTCATTATAGATTAGTGCTAGAGGTATGCTGAGGACCTGTGTTGCTTCTTTCAATTAACATCCATGATAATTTAACAACTACGTCCCTCACTCCTCCCCTTACCTTGTGAAGGGACAACTGAGCCCCTCACTCCTCCCCTTACCTTGTGAGGGGACAACTGAGCCCCTCACTCCTCCCCTTACCTTGTGAGGGGACAACTGAGCCCCTCACTCCTCCCCTTACCTTGTGAGGGGATAAATGAGCCCCTCACTCCTCTCCATACCTTGTGAGGGGACAAATGAGCTCCTCACTCCTCCCCTTACCTTGTGAGGGGACAACATTGATGAAGAAAGTCATCTCCAAGAATACAATAACTAACTGAAATAAATGCCGAGCAAAAGTCTCAAAGTCTGATGTAGGATCCAAGATTTTGCAGAAAAAATGATGACCAAAAAATTATAAAAAATATATCGTCCAAACTAATCAAAATTGTCAGAAATTGAAATACGTTTGAGACTTGTTCACTACATGTTGCCCGAGGTAATAGGAGCGGCTTCAGCCGTGGCGTTACAACCATTTGTTATATATCTTCATGCAAGATGGGTGCCGTTGCAACAGTATCTTTATCTGATAGAGAATACCTAAATTTAATATTGTACTTCCTGCTGAAATACATCTGAATCTGTATTGTGGCTGCGTGAAATAAATTCGAGAGTTTGTAGCAAGCGTTGAGAACTTACCGTTGTAACAGAGAGAATTCTCTCTTGACGATGTACTTAATGCCATTAAAAGACGTCTCCTGGCAGAACTCTATGACTTCCTTGGGTATGTGTGCCTTGTCCCGGGACCCCGTGGGCCGTGGGTCGGCCCTCTGGGGGAGGCGGCGGTGGTGGTGGCTCTCGGGGTTCAAACCAGTGACCCAAGAGTGTGATGACGGGAAGTAATCTATAGACTGGACCATCCTGAAGTGGTATTACCCCCTTCTGTTGGATTTGTATATCAAATAAATTACAGTTAGACTTGTTCAACAATGCATGGACTTGTTGTCAGTACATAACCGTTATTAAATGCTTAACAAAAATCCTCGTTGTGTTGCCTTGAGGGCGCGACATTGTGAAGACAAAGGACAATGATGAACTGACCTGTGCCGGGTTACGGGTGAGCAAGGTACAGGAGCGGTGTGTCCTCGGCTCTCAGCTTGGGACCACTACTGATGCCAGCCGGCTGCCAGTTATAGCGGCCTTCACCACTGGTCAATACAAGGTCGGCTCCTCAGTCTTGCAGCAAGGTGGTGTTTTTATTTAATGATCAATTGACAATTACGTTTGAGATCAATATCACGTGGGAGTATCATTTTGACTGCTTCAGAAATTAATACCGATACTTGCCATGACAAATGTACAAATAAAAATAAATCAACTGTCCTCTATTGCTTACATGTATATATATTCCATTTACCTGGGCACTAGGAGACTCGAACCACTGACCCCATCAGTGGGAGACAGAATCTCTATCCACCTTGCAATGAGCAGCCTTATTAAGAACAACTAACTGCTGCCCAGCAGGAATTTTCAATTTTCCCTGACTGCAACCAGTGCTCAGAGGAATCAGTGATCCACGTCCACGTCAGTGGTCAGTTGCCTCTGGAATCTTTCCTTATGAAGACTATTCATAGCAAGGTGGATAGAGCTTCTGTCTCCCATTGATGGGGCAGATGGTTCAATGTCTTCTAGTGCCCAAGTGACACTAGAAGTCACATTGTGAGACCTATTGAGTTATATATATATATATATATATATATATATATATATATATATATATATATATATATATATATATATATATATATATATATATATATATATATATATATATATATATATATATATATATATATATATATATATATATATATATATATATATATATGTATATATATATATATATATATATATATATATATATATATATATATATATATATGTATATATATATACATATAATTTTAGCATGACTAAAATTAGTTAGCATATCTAATTGTAAATATCGTATTTGAGGCAGTGAGTGGTGTAAAGGTCGACTAATTTATAGTTGCCTCTGATGCCTCTCATGCCTCTGATGCCTCTCATGCCTCTGATGCCTCTCATGCCTCTGATGCCTCTCATGCCTCTGATGCCTCTCATGCCTCTGATGCCTCTCATGCCTCTGATGCCTCTCATGCCTCTGATGCCTCTCATACCGTCATATTGAGCATATCCACCACTCCTGGGTATACTGTGAGCATATCCACCACTCCTGGGTATACTGTGAGCATATCCACCACTCCTGGGTATACTGTCTATGTTTATAAAGTCGTGCAGACTTACAGGGTTTTGGGTAACGCTGGGGACTCGTTAACAAGCTGTGGTAGTAACTGAACGTTCGTTAAACAGAGGTCATTACCATAGGTTCTTACGGAGATGCACTCCTGGTACACCAGTTTATGTCTTATGACCAACACATTATGGGTTTACCTAACTACCTAAACTATATGAATAATAGATGAAAACAAAGAGTATTATAATGAATCAGTACTGAGCAACGTTGTGTTGAACAGGGTACGCGTGTATGGCTGTGATGTCAGTATAGTTTAAGCCTATATGTATTCAGTATAAAATCATTTACAGCTTTAAAATCCAGCTGTATTCTATATATAATAAATTAACTCATAATTTAAAGCATTCATTATGTCCTGCATCTTGAAGAAACAGAGGGCTGCCACATCCAGTCACTCGCCCAGTGGTCCCACTTCCCACACACACTAGAACTAAAATTCACGCATAATCCTTAGAGGATTCAGTTGAAGGCCAGATTGCATTACATTTAGCATATCGTGATTCAGTGGTTTAAGGCTTGGGTTTGGGAGCCCCCAGTGTGCAGGTTCGAATCCTTCTCATGGCTCCTACTGATTGGCAAACATAATTTGCATGTGGTAAATTTTCTAGTGGTGGTACTAAGGAGCTCGGGAGCCGGTCGGCCGAGCGGACAGCACGCTGGACTTGTGATCCTGTGGTCCTGGGTTCGATCCCAGGCGCCGGCGAGAAACATTGGGCAGAGTTTCTTTCACCCTATGTCCCTGTTACCTAGCAGCAAATAGGTACCTGGGTGTTAGTCAGCTGTCACGGGCTGCTTCCTGGGGGTAGAGGCCTGGTCGAGGACCGGGCCGCGGGGACACTAAAGCCCCGAAATCATCTCAAGATAATCTCAAGATAAGGTAACAAGCCGGACACAAGCAATATGCAAATGAGAGTAACTATTGATAGCAAAACATATGCAACATTTGTCAGACAAGTTTTATGTTTCATTTGAATATCTTTTGGTTTGTATTAATTGACATTTTAAGTATAATATTGCCTATAAGATTGAGTGATTAATAAATTATAGGTTATAGGCTATAATTAACTATGTAGGCCTATGTAAATTATCTTACAAAAAGTACTAGTTTACAGCGTTTGAATTGAGTTCTATCTGGGTCCAGTTGTATGGGTATGATCACAGAGTTGTGATTAAGAGGACCTGGTCAGGGACCGGGCCGCGGGGACGTTGAACCCCAAAATCATCGCAAGGTAAGATGTAAATATCATCTAGGTAAAGAAGAAAATAAATTTTACTGGGAGACATCCTGTTCTTGATTCGCTTAACTGTGTCTGCTGGCGGCAGCTAGAGCTGAGTGAGGAAAGGGGAGGGCAGTGTTGCCAGTTCTCCTACTTGGAACTTAAAGAGACAGCCTGGGAAGTCTTATATTTGGATAAATTGTTTGTATTGAAGGAAGGTTTCAAATTATGTATCATGTGTCCACAGGTTGTGGTGGCGGGTCATGTATCATGTGTCCACAGGTTGTGGTCGTGGGCCATGTATTATGTGTCCACAGGTTGTGGTGGCGGGCCATGTATCATGTGTCCACAGGTTGTGTGTGTTCCAGGTCGTCTGAGTGTATTAGTCAGGAAAGTTAGATAATGTTCAAAATATGTTGTTAAGCTGTCAATTTGTTTATTAATGTTTTTCTCCCCTCCCTTTCTGTGTAAATTTCAAATTTCGGTGTAAATTTCAAAGAGAGACGTAGCTGTTCTTGTGGCTGGCAGAGGAGAGGTAGCGCCAGGGTAGCCAGATGGGAACATGTTTTAGGTGTCTGCTAGGGTGGGTAGCTGACCAAGCCGTTCGCTGGGATTGCTGTAGTATGAGGTGAACTGTGAAGGTTGCGTCCGTTTTCTGCGGTGCTGGAGAGGCGCTGGGTGTTGGTGAAGGGGGGACATTCCACGATTTTGTACCCTTGATTTGCATAGTATTTCTACTTTAGTTGAGTCTCACACTAGGAATAATAATAATAATAATTTATTTAGTCAAATGTATATACATATGATACATGAACAGAGGAAGATACATAGGTAAGACAAGTACTTTAAAAAAAAAAACACTAATACACAGTTCGCGTTTCTGGTATAGCTTAAGAAAACAGATAGGTTAATTAAAGTTTTGATGAGGTAGATAATACTAACAAGAAGCAGGTTAATACTAACTCGCAAAATTAACATACTGTCCCGTTTTCTGTTTTGGGTTCTCTGATAGGCTAGGATAAGGGCACTTTCGTACGACAGTTTCCTGACGTTGGGAAACCTTAGGAGGATGGGCTGGTTCAGAACAATCAGGACAACATTTCGAAGTCGGAGGGGTTGTATGTGTGGGCCAAATCTCAAGTCCAGCTTCCACGACGATCTCCGCATGTTCAGCGGCTCGGAAAGCTTCAAGGTTTGCAGGGGTCGGTGGTCAAAAGTTCTATCTCCGTTCTTGATCGATTCTTCTCTCTTCTCGTTGTCTTCTTTCTTGATGTCGAATATTTTTCTTCTTTTATTGTCTTCATTCTTGCTGTTGCTTGCCCCTCCCTTTCCAGATCGCTGTCGTCGTGAGGGGGCTTGGTGGGCGGCTGCCGGGGTGTGAGGCTCCATGGAACAGTCCTCTGTCCTTTTGAAAGCCTTATGCTCTTGCTGCTGTCTTTATTGATTTTGCTGGAAGTTTTCCCCTTCCTTATATTTCATTTTCCTCCCCGGAAAAGGGGAGGTTTAGGGAGGCACACTCTCTCACCCGAAGAACTGTGATATCCAACGTCGCGAGTGAGGGGAGGATGCTTTTTATTGTCACTCCTCTCCTTCGTTGCTGCACCCGATCTCGACGGACTGACGATTCTTAAGGTGGCGATTGTGGGCCATATACTCACGATGCACCCCCCCCCCCACAGGGGTGGGGGGGAGTGCATCGTGACATCGTGCATTTTGACAATGTCTATTCTTCAATGGAATATTCATGGATTTTATGTCAACGTCCATGAACTCCAACTTACTTCTGATAACACAGTTTTCACCGGTTTGTGTCTGTCACCAGGAGCCAGTGCTTGGTGCTCGTCCTGGTCGCTTTCGTGGTTATTCCTTCCCCCTCCCTCCTCCAGCTTCTGCCGGGCCCCATAACTCTACTGCTCTCTTCATTCATACTGATATTCCCGTCGTCCTCATGCTTTTTCCGTCGACTATTCAATGTTCTGCGGGCCGTATCTTTGTGAGTAAATGGTATACAGTCTGTTCTATTTCTCTCCCCCAAATTAGACTCCTGTTGGACTCCTTATCAGAACCTGTGCTTCTGTTGGGTGATTTCAACTGTCGACATAACCTCTGGGATGATGTTCTGACAAACACCCGGGGCCGCTTTCTCGAACCATTTGTCCTCTCTTCTTTTCTCTCTCTTCTGAATTCTGGTGAACCCACTCATGTGGACTCTCGCACTCACACCCTCTCCTGTCTTGCTCTTTCTCTCTGCTCGTCTTCTCTTTACATAGATATCACATGGCGGGCTCTTGATGATCTACATAACAATAATCATTTCCCCATCCTTGTCACCTTTTTCTCTTTTCACCCTCCCCTCTCCTTTCCCAGG